GCTCCCTTCCGCCCCCTCTCCTACCCATCCCCCTTCCTAGATCGGTTTCGGAATATTTCCGGTAGGGTCAAACTCTCACGTATCCAGAAGGGACTTTGTAGATAATGTTGACAGGCAAAGCAGGCAGAGTCAAGAAAAATGGAAGCCAGGCATGGTAACACACTGTAACCTAGGCTGAGACAGGAGGATCGCAAGTTCAAGCACAGTCTGAGCAATTTAGTGACTTAGTGAGACCCTGTCACAAAAAAAAGGGTCCATCGTGCTGGGTCATTGCTCAGTGTGCCCTTAAATGGGGCAATCCTTCTGCCTCAACCTCCTGAGTGCTGGGATTACAGGTGTGTGTCACCAAGTCTGGCTTCCAAGAAAAATATCGCTACAGACTTAGGACAAATAAAAAATCACACAGATGGGTGTGGTGGCGCACACCTGTAGTCCCAGCACTGGGGAGGCTGAGGCAGGAAGATCACTGCAAGTTCGAGGGCAGCCTGGGCTACAAAGTGAGCTCAAGCCCAGCCTGAACTGCATAGTGAGACCCTGTCTCAAAAAAGCAAACAAACAAACAAACAAACAAAAAAATCACACAGCCCCAATGGAGAATGGCAGGGGCTTCGGCCAAGTGAAAGCTTATGTCCCCTGACAGTGACAGCCACATCTTGGTAGCTGGCACCTGGGCCACGTGTTCAGGATCACCAGTTTGAGAGCTTGGCTCTACACAGACACCTGCTGTGAGGTGCGATAGGAAGATGAAAAATAAGATCTTTGAATATGAAATAGGAAGTTTATGGACCAGAAAATTAAAGCTGACTGCACACACGTAACTACATGTGTGCTATAACAGGAAATTACCACCCTGCCTGGGAGCGCAGGAAAGACCAACTCAACTGCAGGCGGATGGGCAGGGCCAGGCTCAGGGAAGTTTCCAGAGGGAGAGGCAAGCTGAGCTGTTTTGCTCCTTGAGTCAAGCAGGCACAGACTAAGGCATGGAGCCACAAGCAGCAAGCTAAGGTCCAGTGGGTCATGGTGGTGCATACCTATAATCCCAGCCCTTGGGAGGCTGAGGCAGGAAGATCACTGCAAGTTCGAGGGCAGCCTGGGCTACACAGAAAGCCCTACATATTGAGCCCTATCTAAAAACAAAGAAACAAACAAGCAAAAAAAACCCAAAACTAAAAAAAAAAAGGGACTGGGCTTAGTGCGAGGACCCTGGGTTGGATACTCAATAAGCGGGTGGGGAGCTAAAGTTGGATGCAAAAATCAAATGCATCCAGAGCTCAGAAGGTGGGTGGGGGAAGGAGTCCTCTTGCCAGCCCCCCCCCCCCAGGCTGAGTGAAGCCCACACTCAGATGAACATCAGAGCCACTGTGTGTCATTTCCCGGACGCATTCTCTGGTCCAGTGCAGCATGCAAATTCACTACCACATCTGCTGGAAATTAGGTTTAATTTCAAAGAAACCAGGAAGCAAGAATTTGAATGAAAAGGGCCGGGGGATATAGCCCAGTGGCACAAGCACCTGCCTGGCAAGTGCAAAGTCCTGAGTTCAATTCCCAGTACCAAAACAAACAAACAAACAAACAACAACAAAAAAAAAAAACAGAAAACCCCCAAGAATTTGAATTAGAAGAGAGAATTTAACAGTTAGTTTTGGTTATATATTTTTCCTGGCTCCTTAATATTTGACTATTGCTTCTGTGAAAGGGTGGGCCATTGAGGTGAAAATCTGAATGTGGAAAAGCTGCTGTGTACATGCTGTGTTAGGATAAATACAAATCTAATAACTCTAGTACAGAAAGGAGGGCGCCTTTACTCCCTTCATTTCAACAGTTACTTTAGACAACTTGTTTTTTCTTTTTCTTTCTTTTTGAGACATGGTCTCACTGTATAGCCCAGGCTAACCTCATACTTGTAGTGATCCTCTGCCTCTGTCTGGTGCTGGGATTACAGGAGGTTGACAATCTTTCTTTTTTGAGACACGGTCTTGCTGTGTAGTTCGGGCTGGTTTGAACTCACTATGTAGCCCAGGCTGGCTTTGAATTTGAGGCAATCCTCCTGCCTCCGACTCCAGAGAGCTGGGATTACAGGCATGAACCACCATACGTGGCCTGACTGTAGACAGTCTATACGGATAAATTCATTCTGTACCCCTTTGAGAAGTATGGAAGTCTATTTAAAACTTAAAGAGGCCTCAGGCCAGCTTTTTACAACCTGGGGGTGTCTTTGTCAAACTCCTGGGAAATTTCTCTTTGAAATGTAATCAACACAGAAGGTAGCATCCCTATTTCCCAGTTTCTGTGCCAGGCCAGGAGCCTAACTCTGTCAGAGGTGACGTTCCCCAAGTTACAAACCTGACTTCGGTTGTACAAATATTTATTTAGCTGGGCGTGGAAGCACACTCCCTGTAGTCCCAGTGCGCTGGGAGGCTGAGGCAGGAGGGCCACAAATTTGAAGCCAGCCTATGCAATTTAGCGATTTTGCAAGATCCTGTTTCAAAATAAGAACACAAAGGGCTGTGGGTGTAGCTACTAAGACCTTGGGTTAATTCCCCAGTAGTGTGCCGCAAAAACAACAGCAAAACTGTAATTTTTTCTTTGCTTCCCCCTCCTCTTCTCTTTGGATAAAGCTAATTAGCTGATATTACCAGCTACTCGTTACTGAGTGAATTCTGGATGAGCTGTGGGGACTAAGGGTGCTGTCCCGTCCTGTTTACCTTGAAGTGCCTACCGTAATGGGTGTGTCTGCCTCGATATGCAAAAACAAGGAAACTTCTTTCAGTCTTTTATGACTGCCTGGGCATGCTTCGCATTTGGGGTTAATGTTTATTCAATAACGAAACTATTTTTTTTTCCTTATAGAGAGGTATATCGGCTTGGCAAGAAAATTTTTTTTTAAAAAGAAATTGTTTTTATGGACTTACGTTGGCTAGGTTTGTGTCTCTACTTGGAGGTTAGCATCTAAATAAGCTGACCGCCAGCACCCAACACAAACGTGCAAAGCCGGTTCCAAACAAACGTCTACGTGCAGATCGGGCAGGGCGCAGCGAGAGAGGATGTCACACCTTCCCTGTGGGGCTAAGCGGGAGACTGCAGGATTCCTGCCCCGCCGCCGAGAGGCCCAGGGCGGGCTCCTCCGTCCCTGCCCGCGCTCTGCAGGGCGGGCCCAGCGTTTCCCAGCTCACAGCTGCACTTTAGCAGTAAAAGCTCCTGCTGCCCTAGTTTCTCTATTTGAAACACGATGACAAAGTGGTCCTCTACCTTAAAACACAGTGTTTACAGGCTCTTAAATAGATTTTTTTTTTTTTTTTGGTTTTTCTTTTTTCCGGTACCGGGACTCGAACTCACGACCTCTCGCTTGCCAGGCAGGCGCTGTGCCACTGAGCTAAATCCCCAGCCCCTAGATCTTAATTAGTCCTATTTAGCAACCTTACTTAGGGTTTTCTTTTTTTTTTAAATTTTTTTTTTTTTTTTTTTTTTTTTTTTTGTTTTTTTGAGACAGGGTCTCGCTATGCAGTTCAGGCTGGCCTTGACCTCACTTTGTAGCCCAGGCTGGTCTCGAACTCGCAACGATCCTCCTGCCTCAGCCTCCTGAGTGCTGGTATTACAGACGTGCGCCACCACGCCCCGATTTTTACTTGGGGTTTTCCTACAAACAGAAATATTTCTGCAGGTACAAAAAATGAAAACAAAGTTCCTGTCCTTAAAGGAATTTATAATTATATATATATTTGTAATATGGATTGTAGTCGGAGTTTTTAGCATTGAGAGCTACAGCCCAAGCCCTTTAAAAATTTTTTTTAAAAATCTTGAGATAGGCTCTTACTAAGTTGCTAAATTGCCCAGACTGGGCTCGAATTTGCGATCCTCCTGCCACATCGGTCTCGAGTATTACCGGTATACGCCCCCAAGCCCGGGTTTTTATTGACTGTAATGTAGTACCATAAGATCGTAACTGGGTATAAACCAAATTTTCAAGGGAAAGAAAAAATAAAACCAGCATTTTAAAAAGGAGATCGTACAGGGCCAGGGCCCGTGGCAAAAGTCCTGGGTTCACGCCCAGCACCACACAGCAGAGGGGTGAACGGAGCGAGGGGCAGCATTACCCTAACCGAACTCCGTGCGATCACACGGCTTTCATAAATATCACAGCCCAGTTTAGATCCCAAGACTTCTCTTGGAGCAGGCTTAACCGGGGAAACCAGAACTCTTACCGAAGGACCACGAAATTAGCACCCACCCTGCAGCCCTGAGCGGAGGTAGGAGACCTCGGCTCTGCCAGCTGCGGCCCTCCCGAGTGCTCTCCAGAACATCTCGCTGAATGGACCTTTGTAAGGCTGTAAGATGAGTAAATACTGACAGTGAACACACTTAAAGCCAGCCACACAACTGCTTTCTGCTAAGCTCAAGGGTGCGCGACGCGCTTTGTTCCTGGCGCCCTAAAAATAGAGTACCGACGCCATCTTAGAAACAGAAGGACTCCAGGCAGGGAGGGCGGGGGCGGTGGTATCCAGGCAACGGAGGCGCGGGCCAAGCTGCGCAGTCGCACTCCGCCCCCGCCCCCTGCCGCGTCGGCCCGGCTGAGGCGGGCAGTGGAAAATTACCGCGGGTTCCTCTTAAAGGCGCCCCACGTTTCCTGCCCAAAGCTGGTGGCCTTTGCTTGCGCCTCCTGCGCCCAGCACATGTAAACTAGACTCCACATTTTATCTTTCTAGGGGAAATAAAATCAGTTTGAAGTCAGTTCGCAGGTCTCGTCTGTAACTAGGCAAATGTGGGAAAATAGGATTTCTCAAAAAAGAAAAACAAAACAAGTTAAAGGGGGGACGTACCCGCCCCCAGCACCGGCTCTGGCGCAGAGTTAGGAGACACAGGGAGGGGACAAAAGAAAGAAGTTCCTGAATAAAATCACACTATCCAGCAGGTTTTAAAAAGAGTGGATTCTGAAGCTAACAAAATTCCTCTATGACAGATGGATTGATCAATTATAGCATCCTAAAAATTACCAGGAAACGGTAATGCAGGCCACATTTATTTAAGAAAGCAGGATCAGAAAACTTATCTTCTCCTCCTAGGTCAGTTCTTAAAGTAGAATAAATCTGTGAGACACCCCCGTCCCCCGCGCGCTACGTAGTCGTCAAAGAAATTTTCTGCAAGTGAGGAGTTACTGTGATTTCCAAGTTCAGCGGTAGTCTACTGCTGCCATTCTGCAAAGCAGAGATAAACACCACGCTGGCGCTGGTCGCGGTGTCTGCAGTGAGCGTGCAGGTTATGCGCCGATGCAGTCTGTGGCTCTGAGATGAATCTCGCCGAGCTGTGTTTCCTGAAGGCATCCTTGAAAAAATATATATAGATTAGGCTTCCTCGAGTAAAGCTGTGCACACACTTCGGTCCATTCCCAAAGGGGCAGGATCGGCCTTTGCACACCCGGGTGCCTCGGTCCGCGGGCGCAGGTCTTTTGCTGCAGTGCAGGGCCTTAGGGTCAGGATGGAGCCCCAGGGAACAGCGAGGGCGGAGGTCCCCCGTGCAGCGGTTCCCAGCGTTCCCGGCCACAGCACAACCCTGCCGGAAAGCCTTCCCCACGTCTTTTCTTCCCCTAGTGCAAATTCTGAGCAGCAGCTTTGCAGGAGCTGGGACACCTAGGCTGGTGTCCCGTTTATGACCTTCGAAGCTGGAGGTTAAAGAAGCACCGCCTTATCTTACTTTCCTGCGACCACAGGGAAAGTGAAGTAGTGCTACAGGAGTGTGTCCTGCGTAAGTGTCACCCGCTCTGAGCCCCGGGGCATGTGAGTTAGGGGCATGGACCCGAGCCTTTGAAACAGAAACACGTGCAGCTGCGGCCTGCACTGCTTGGCCTCGGCGTTCCTCTGTCACTGCTGAGCCACGCCGGCAGGTGCCCAGGTGGGGCAAGTCCACCCCGCTTTCCCTCTGCTCGGCCGGCAGGATAGGGACTGCGCAGCCTTGCACGGGAAGAGTCCTGGGCAGGGTTTGTGAAAAAAGTAAAATGTTTAAATATGGGTTAGGGCCGGGCTTGGTGGCACACGCCTGTAATCCCAGCACTAGGGAAGCTGAGGCAGGAGGATCGTTGCGAGTTCGAGACCAGCCTGGGCTACAAAGTGAGCTCAAGGCCAGTCAGAACTGCATACCGGGGCTGGGGATTTAGCTCAGCAGCCTGCCTGGCAAGCGCAAGGTCGTGAGTTCGATTCCTGGTACCGGAAAAAACAAAAACAAAAACAAAAAAAAAAAGAAGAAAAGAAAAAAAAAAAACCTGCATAGCGAGACCCTGTCTCAAAAAGACAAAAATAAATAAATATGGGTTAAAAATTTTAGCAAGCAGAGTTGGGAGATACCGGTTGTCTGTGTAATAGAGATGATAAATTGCGTTCTTCATAAAATCATCTAAAAATTTTATGGATCTGAATGTAGGAAGACAGAGTTTGGGAAGTCAGCCTTTAGGTACTACTACCGGAAGAAACATAACGGCAAATATGAATTCTAGATAATTTTTAGGGTTTTTTTTTGTTCCAGTACTGGGGATCCAAACCAGGATCTTTCATCGAGGTATATCTCCAGTCCTTTTGATTTTTTTATTTTGAGTCAGGTTCTTGCTAAGTTGCCCAGGATGGGCTTGAATTTGAGAGGGCCTCCTGCCTCAGTCTCCCCAGTGCTAGGATCACAGCCCTGCTCCTCCACGCCAGCCTTTTACGGCAATTGTTATTTTACAGTTAGACCACCTGGCAAAAACAAGGCGTGTTCAAGGACAAGGATTTTTAGTTGGTTTGTCCTGATCTCCCCGAATTTATGCCTGGCATAGAGCAGGCCCTCAGAAAATAATTGCTGCATGAATGGATGAACGAACAAGTTAATAGTGCTCAAAATGTGGCTGCTGTACTGAGAGGCAACCCTATAAAAAAATCTGTGCTGAGCTCATCATCTCGGTGCGGCCGGGGAGCTGGAAGCTTTGTGGTATTTGCTACTTTAATGCCAGCGGAGAAACCTAATTAAGTGTGCCTTTGGGTTCGCCCTCAAAGTACAAGAGCTAGATGAGCGAATGGAAACATAAGTTGCCCTCTTAAATTTGAATTTGAGATAAACAAGCAATATTTTTTCATACATGTCCCAAGTACCGCTGGCGACATGGAGGATAGCCGTGAGTTTGAGGCCAGCCTGGGTTACACAGTGAGACCTTGTCTCAACACACCAACGCCCCCTCTCCTCCCAAAAAAGACCTGGTGCAGTAAGGGAATCCTAGCTGGGTCGGGAGTGGGAACTGAGTGATTCTGATGAGCTGCTCTCCAAGGAGATGAAGGTGGCAGAGAAGTTAGGGACACTGGAGAGGGAGCTGGAAGTACAAAGTCAAGCAGGGTGTGGGGCATTGTGGACACTGTGAATTTTTGTTCTTTTTTTTGGTACTGGAAATTGAACACATGACCTTTCGCTTGCCAGGCAAGTGCTTGAGCCACTGAGCTATATCCCCAGCCCCTGGACACTGTACATTTTTATTTTTTTTTTTTTTTTTGCATTTTTGAGACAGGGTCTCGCTGTGCAGTTCAGGCTGGCCTTGAGTGCATTTTGTAGCCTAGGCTGGTCTTGAACTCACAAGGATCCTCCTACCTCAGCCTCCCGAGTGCTGGGATTACAGGTGTGTGCCACCACGTCCAGCTGGACAATGTGAATTTTTAAAAACAAAACAAGTGGGGCGTGGTGGTGCACGCCTGTAATCCCAGCACTTACTCTGGAGGCTGAACTGGGAGGATCCTCCATTCAAGGCCAGCCTGAAGTACATAGTGAGTTCAAGGCCAGCCTGGACTGGGTAGCAAGACCCCCTCCCAAAATCCCCCCAAATAGTAACAACGAAAAATCCACACATAACACAAATCTCTCTCAGACAAATGGATGCATCTTCCACTTAGCTTTTTATTTTTTTAATTTTTTTTTTTAGCTTTCTATATTTTTTTTAAACCGGGAGTGGTGGCACACACCTGTAATCCCAGGACTTGGGAGGCTGAGGCAAGAGGCTCATTTGGAGTTTGCGACCGGCCTGGGCTACAAAGTGAGCTCAAGGCCAGCCTGAACTGTATAGTGAGACCCTGTCTCAAAAAGACAAAAAGATTTTTTAAAAAACCCTATATTTTATTTTAAAAAATTTTTTTTTTCAGACAAGGTCTTGCTATACAGTTTAGGCTGACCTTGAACTCACTATGTAACTCAGCCTGGCCTCTTAACTCTCAAGATCCTCCTGCCTCAGCCTCCCAAGAACTCAGATTACAGGTATATACCACCACAGTGGGCTATAGATCCTTTTTTTGCCCTGACAATGTCCTAGGATACAGTCCTAGATGTGAAATTCCTGGATTCATGGATTACAACATTTACATTTCTTTTCTGTACTGGGGATGAAACCCAAAGCCATTCTAGTACTGCGCTCCATCTGCAGTCCATTTTACCTTTTTACTTTGAGACAGGCCTTGCTAAATTGCCTGGGCTGGCCTTGAATCTGCAATTCTTCTGTCTCAGCCTTCTGTGTAGCTGGGATTCTGAGTTTTGATGAGTATTAGTTTACTGGACAGATAAAAGAACAAGAAGCACATTTACATAAGCATCTATATTTCAGTCCTTTTTTTTTTTTTTTTTTTTTTTGATATGGGGAATCAAACTCATGACCTCAGGCTTGCCAGGCAAGTGCTTATGCCACTGAGCTATATCCTTGGCCCCAAAGGAGCACATTTAAAGACGACCACGGTAGAAGGAGGAGCAAGTAGCTCAGGGAACCAGGGCGAGGGGAGGAAGGGCGCGGGAAGGCAGAGGAAGGGTCAGGAAGGGAAGGGCTGACTGCACCACTCTCTGCAGGGAACTTAGCGTTTGCGTGGACACCAGGCTAAGCACGAGGTACCGTTCATGGTTTAGCCCTCATGACAAAGACGAAGTGTCACCAGTTTAGGGGAAGGAGACCGAAGCCCAGAGAGGTCAAGCTGACAGAGGTCAGAGGGTTGGGCAGCCGCAGAGCTGCAACCCAGCGCATGCCTCTTTTGCCTGCAGAGCCCGGTCTCCTACGCGCCACTCAAAGGGCTGACAGAGCTTCGAACCAGGCTGTGGGCGCGCGGAGTGGGCAGCCCGGATGTGCAACCGGGTGCAACAGGCAAGACAGCCCTGAGGCCGGGGCCTGGCCCCGATTCCCACTCATCTGCTGTAGTTTCAGAGCAGACCAGCTAGAGAGGACCTTGGTTATTTCCGGCAGGTTGAGTTAAGGAGCAATTTACAAGGCATCTTCCTTTCACTGTAGGGAAAAATAGCAACCCAGAGCAGAAATGATGTTGTCAAGGGTCCTTGACATAAGAAAACAAACTTTATTATTCGCCTTGCCCCACGTCTTCACTTATATCAGTAGCAGATATTAAACTGCACAGGCCAGGCATGGTGGCTCATGCCCATAATCCCAGCACTTGGGAGGCTGAGGCAGGAGGATCTCTGTGAGTTCGAGACCAGCCTGGGCTACAAAGTGAGGTCAAGGCCAGCCTGAACTGCATAGCAAAATCCTGTCTCAAAAAAACCCCCAAAAAACCAAAAAATAAAAAAAACCCAACTGCACAGAGGAGATGGGATTCTAAGAACTTTTTTTAGCTTCCAAAAGCTGTTCAGTGTCAATGGTCCCTTAAAAGAAACAGAAGATACTCACCCATTTTCTGCTTTGGGAATCAGCTATGCTATCTGAATGGTAAAATAAAAGAATCTAGCGCGGTTTGGGAAGGATGGCAGCGCATCCCTGGGAACAGATTCTGGTCTCAGATGCGCAGTGTTGGTACAGCGGAAAAACCTTCTCCTGTTTATTGCTGTGCACCTGTAGGATCCAAGGAGTTGGTCGCTTTGCACAGGGTTACTGGGAGATTTCCAGTTAGACTCCAAATCTGTAGCCCAAGAGAGAAAGCCTAGCACCCGGCTCTTGTCACCAAGGAAACTGTTCTGGAATAATAATCATTGCCACATGTGATGGTTCTTAAAGATCCAAAGCCTTTTTGATAAATCTTTTCACCAGTGTTCTCTATCCTACAGGGATGTACTTTACACCATATAATTAGGAAAAAAAAATTATTTCCATGGGATTAAGAATCTAGGGGTTGATCAGAACCACTAGTTCCAAGGAAGAGGCACTCCATTGTCTGAGATGGATTTAATGATGCATCTCACATGATCACATACGTCACCGGCTGCTAATTGACATTTCTTCACATTTAAATTTGTGTGAGTCCTACTTTGCACTTCTGTGTTTTGCTGTATCACTTTCAGAGAACAAAGGCATGATTCTGGGAAACACGGTTTGGTTTTCGAGTAGCAGATTATTGCAGTTTCTCGGTATGGAGTATCCAAGCGTCAAGAACACTAAACTAGAGCAGAAACCATGGAATTATTAGATCACCTTTCTTTGAAGCCTTATGTTTCCTGTTCATTTTTATTTTTATTTTTTTTCATGTTTCCTGTTCTGCGGCTAAAAGCAATTGAGTCCGGCACAGTGGCACACGCCTGTCATCCCAGTACTCCGGGAGGCTGAGGCGGGAGGATCCCAAATTCAGACCCACCCTGGGCAGCCGGGTATGGTGGCGCACGCCTGTAGCCCCAGCACTCCGGAGGCTGAGGCAGGAGGATCGTTGCCAGTTCGAGACCAGCATGGGCTACAAAGAGAGTACAAGGCCAGCCTTAACTGTATAGCAAGACCCTGCCTAAAAAAAAAGACAAAAAAAGCCCACCCTGGGCAATTTAGCAACTTACTGAGATCTTGCCTCAAAAAAGGAGAGGGCGTTGGGGATGTAGCTCAGTGAAATAGCCTTAGGTTCAGTCTCAGCCCTGTGAAAAACAATACAAATAATAAAATGACGAGAGATGATGTTTAGTTTAGATGCCTTTAGCCTTTTAAAAACAAGCTCAAAAAGATAAATCCAAGTGTTCACTGCCATTTGGATGTTTGAAAACTACAAAGTTTATATACTTGGTACCCATTTGGAAAGAAAGCCTCAGCAGTGGGTTTCTGGAATATCCCATCTACACATAGGAACGAACTTCGTAGTTGAACGGAGAAGAGGTCTGGTACTCACAGGCTCACAGCGCAGTGAGCCCTTTCGCAGTTTTTACCTCAAAGTGAACATCGAAGCCACACGGGAACGAGGCACCAAGAATGTATGATCTACGATTTTCAGAAACATCCTGTCAATTTAAGGGAGTGAGAGCAAAGTTGGATAGGCTTTGACCTGAGGTGGGTTCCTGACGCACACTAAGGAAAAGGTTCCAGATGCAATAAATTAACACCATTTGGAGAGTCAAACTATGCATCAAAATGTCTGTTAAAATTTATACTCGTTGTAAATCTTATTTTGCAAAAACACGTACAAAAGCCTTTTTGTTTTTGGCTTTTTTTGCAATGATCAAATGAGGGCCTGGGGCATCAATGCTAAGCAAGTGCTCTATCCCTGAGCTTTATCCACGGCCATAAAAAATAATTTTTTTTTTCCCCTTTGTTGTAACGGGATTGAATCCAGGGCCTTCACACTGAGCCACCTGTCACCTTTTTGAGATAGGGCCTCCCAAAGTCTCTTAAGTCAATACATTGTCCAGGCTGGGCTAGAACCCGTCAGCCTCATAAAGTGGTGGATTACAGGCTTGCTACGCTACACTGATGTAAACCTTTTTTTTTTTTTTTT